AGAGTTTATATTAAGAGTGCTCAATAATTTTTGCAGACCTCAAAAAGTTCTCTGTTATTCATTTAATTTGCATTATAATTATTTTTATATAATTATAGACTAAATTTGTAATATATAAATATTTATTGAATGAATTTTCAGAAATTTTTTACTTGTTAAGATATCTCCCACGAAAAAGATAATATTTAAGGATTTTGCTTAAATTTTGGATGCATAAGTTCAAGATCTTAGTTTTGTCTATAATGTGCCGCTGATCCAATGAAACACACTAATTGTAGGAAAGATCTTAAAGGATTTGGTTAGATTCAATTATTAATGATTAAATTTTAAGAATACCTTCTTAATCTAACAACTTAATTGAATAAATCATTTGAACAATGCAAAACTAAGTATGAGGAGTATTCGAAATAAATGGAAAAAATGAGAATTAATTTAAATTAGAAATTTGCAGAAATCAAAATTAAAAATGAAGAGTATACAATATAAATGGAAAAAATGAATACATAATTAGTTAAGTTATCTGAATGTTTAATTTAATAAGATTATCAATACATAAAATAAAATTTATAATCGGTTAAAGAATGGTATCAGTATTTCTATAATTAAGAGGAGATCATTAAATAAAATTAAATTGGTATTTTCATAGAATATAATATTTATAGGGACTTCGTTTTATATTTAATATGACTTTTTAATAATATTCACTATAAAAAGGATAATAAAAGCTTTAAATTAAAACAGATACTAATAATCTTCATAAATCAAAAGATTAGAACAAGAGCAAGAAAATATACTTTAAGAAGGTCTAATATTTGATTAATAATAATTTAGGAATACAATTAAAATAAATAACAAGAAAACGAAAATCTATACTAAATCTGTAGAAATGGTAATAGGCTTATGATTCTCAAAAATGTTAAAATAATTAGAGAAGTAATCATCTTTTGCCACATTCTTTTAATGTATAATAATATATTTCCTAATTATATTTTTAGGTATTTCATTATATGAAAAGAATCAACCAGGTTAAGGATTCATTTTAAGAGAATAAGCAAGAAAGATTAATAGTAACTTTTATAAGGATTTATTGAATTATACAGATTTAGAATTAAAGAAGAATCCAAAAAATACCTCTATGATGATTGCATAAAGTAATTGATATTTTAATCCTTTCATAAGGTTATGCTTTAAATGATGAAAAATAATACTAACAAGCCATTTAATAATGTGAAAAAATATTAAATGAGGAACCAGAAAATCTCCATGCATTGTATAGAAAAAGTAATCATATATTATTATTCTAGGTTTCTCTTTAGAAGACTCAAACTAGATAGCATTAGCTATATAATGTATTGATAAAGCTCTCAAATACAATCCAAATTATTGTCTTGCTTATTTCTAGAAGGATGATTTAATGTTAAAATAATTAGGGAATTTGCTATATGCTGAGGGAAAATATAGAGACGCAATAATATGCTATGATATGGCTATTCAACTAGATCCTAATTATTCGATGGCTTATAATAATAAAGGTTTACTTTATTTAATTTTAATAGGCAATTCATTATATAATCTTCAAAAATAGAATGATGCAATTACATGCTATGAAAAGGCTTTTTAGTTAGATCCTAACTATTCAATGGCTTATAAT